GCACGTTATTTCGAAATTTGGTGCTGTGTAGACGTGCCAAATCTAATATATAAAGGAGAATGTTTGAATGTTTGAGCTCTAATAACTTGGGGTATGTCTACACTACCCCGCTAGTTCGAACTAGCGGGGTAGTGTAGACATACCCTTAGATATCAGGCTGAAGGGTAGTTAGTACAAGAGCTAGCTTTGCTCACTCGGGGTACGGTTAAACTACAAGTTTTTGTCGGAAAAAAGTATGCAAAATATGCTCTGCATTTGTGTACCTTTTTCCGATTCTTTTGTCGGAAGAGGCATCTACACTGGACCAAATGTCGGAAAAAAAGCCCCCTTCTTCCTCGTAGAACAAAGAATACAAGGGCTTCCGAAAGAGTGCATTTGCTTTTCTGCAAAAAAAGCAAAAGAACAAACGTGATCCCTGGACACAGCGGAGTTTTTTTGGGATACCAGAGGTATTCAAAAAAAAACCATGCAGTCTAGCCATACTCTTTATAGCCTTCAAGAGGTCCACTCTTGCCAGAGGAATTTTTAAATGGGTAGCTGCAACCAGATTCTACTAAAATGGAGTACTTCTCAAATGGAGCAAAAGAGGATGAAGCCAATGTAAAGAACCTCAGATACCTATAAAAATAGCAAAATAGCTATGATCTAATATAATAGTAACACTGTGGCTGGTACAGAAAGGATTCTGATTCTCCTCGTAATTGGCTCTAATGTGAAATCTTGATGCAGCAGATTCCACTGATGTCCAGAAGGGAAATACTGATTGTTTTTATATTTATGTATACTTTGATTTTGTTTATGGGTTAGATTATATTTTAACTATAAAATTTTGTATAAGAGTCGGTTAATGAGAGGTCTTCATAAATTAATGACTGCACAGGGACTCTTTATTCTTAGCCCTATATGCCCACTCATCCCCAAACTAAACTGATCAGTCAACAAATTGGAAAAACAAAGAAAATGGAAGACTTTAATGTCCTACAAATGGCATATAGGTGTATCAACTGCGACCCCCAGCGCCATCTGGGACTCGCCCCCTCCCCGCCCTCAAGGTTACATAAACGACCCTCTTTCCCCCCCTGCGCTGGCATGCAGTGCCCCGACCCTAATGCGCACAATGTCTCGGGCACCCGCCCTGCTCCCCGCAGCACCTGCAGCCCCAGGTGCAAGCTGGGGCGCTTCTTCTGTGTGCAACAACCCCTGCCCCCTCGGGGATGACGCGGACCTATATTTTATATACCTTGACTTTAGCAAGGCTTTTGATACGGTCTCCCACAATATTCTTGCCAGCAAGTTAAGGGAATGTGGATTGGATAAATGGACTGTAAGATGGATAGAAAGATGGCTAGAAGGCCGGGCCCAGCAGGTAGTGATCAATGGCTCGATGTCAGGATGGCGGTCGGTTTCTAGCGGAGTGCCCCATGGTTCGGTTCTAGGACTAGTTTTGTTTAATATCTTTATTAATGACCTGGATGAGGGGATGGATTGCACCCTCAGCAAGTTTGCGGATGACACTAAGCTAGGGGGAGAGATAGATACGCTTAAGGGCAGAGATAGGGTCCAGAGTGACTTAGGCAAATTGGAGGATTGGGCCACAAGAAATCTGATGAGGTTCAACAAGGACAAGTGCAAAGTCCTGCACTTGGGACGGAAGAATCCCAAGCATAGTTACAAGCTGGGGACCAACCAGTTAAGTAGCAGTTCTGCAGAAAAGGACCTGGGGGTTACAGTGGATGAGAAGCTGGATATGAGTCAACAGTGTGCCCTTGTAGCCAAGAAGGCTAATGGCATATTAGGTTGCATTAAGAGGAGCATTGCCAGCAGATCCAGAGATGTCATTATTCCCCTTTATTCGACTTTGGTGAGGCCACATCTGGAGTATTGTGTCCAGTTCTGGGCCCCCCACTACAAAAAGGATGTGGACACATTGGAGAGGGTCCAGCGGAAGGCAACCAAAATGATTAGGGGGTGGGAGCATATGACTTAAAAGGAGAGGCTGAGGGAGTTGGGTCTGTATAGTCTGCAGAAGTGAAGAGTGAGGGGGGATTTGATAGCAGCCTTCAACTTCCTGAAGGGAGGTTCCAAAGAGGATGGAGAAAGGCTGTTCTCAGTAGTGACAGATGGCAGAACAAGGAGCAATGGTCTCAAGTTGTGGTGGGAGAGATCCAGGTTGGATATTAGGAAAAACTATTTCACTAGGAAGGTGGTGATGCACTGGAATGGATTACTTAAGGAAGTAGTGGAGTCTCCATCCCTAGAGGTGTTTAAGTCTCGGCTTGACAAAGACCTGACCGGGTTGATTTAGTTGGGATTGGTCCTGCCTAGAGCAGGGGGCTGGACTTGATGACCTTCCGAGGTCTCTTCCAGCTCTATGGTTCTATGATTCTATGATTTTAATCCCTATACAAATCAGTGCAACTTTTCTACCATTCACAAAAAGATAACGGACTACTGTTTTTCTACATTTTGTTCCTCCAGTTTCCCGAGCAACGCTGGGTAACTCCAGCTAGTTTAAAATAAGCTATTGCAAAATAGATTTGAAATAAGAAACACAATTTGCGCTATGCAAATTGTTTATCTTATTTCAAGTTTCAGGTGCTGTGCAGATGCACCCTAAGTTCGTTATTAACTGCATAGCTGTGGAGCAACCTATTTAGTGCTGTGCTGGTGCTCAGGGAACCCACCCAGCGGAGAGGCTGGATGACTCCAGCCCTGACTCAGACCTGTTGTGGCCTGGGCACCTGAACTCAATCATGACCAGGCTGCTTTTCCCCTGGCTCAGACACAGCCACGGCTAGGGCATCTCTCCTCCGCCCCAAATTCACCACAGTCTGGGCCTCCCACAGCCTATCACAGGACTCCAGCCCCAGAGCTGCCACAATGGGGAGAGGTGCTTTCCCTCCACCAGCCCAAGTGCTGCCGTGGAGAGAGAGAGCTTGGGGGAGTCTCTTCTCCTGACATAACCCTGGAGCAGTCTCCTGCACCCCAAACCTCTCATCAATGACCCTATCCCAGAGTCTGCACCTAACCCTCTGCTGCATCCCGCTGAACCCCTCAACCCCAGCTGCACCACAGAGCCTGCACCCACAGTGAAAGTAACTTAAATTTCTCACAGATACTGTTCTATCACAGCAGGAGTTGTGATACCTATCCCTGTGATACCTGGGATGGAGTAGGCAGGGTTCAGGGCACAGAGTTAGGGTGTGGGAGGCTGCAGGAGTTGGGCTTGTGGTATATGAGGGGCTCAGGGCAAGGGGTTGGGATGTGTGGGAGGGTGCAGAAGGCAGGGCAGGGGGCTGGTGATGAGGAGGCAAAGTATGTGGGTAGCTCTGGGGCTGGGTTACTTTACCTGGCTGGGGCCATGCACTCACACAGCTGTGGCTGGACTATCACATAAAAAGTCATATGTGGGGCCTGCAGCTCAACAGGCTAAGATGGAAATTTCCATCCTAGTTGTACACAGTCTGGTAACCTTGTACCCTGCAAACACAAACAGCAACCGGGCCTTGTCAACTTTAACCTATGCCTTGAGCTGGGAGACTACTAAGCGGTAAACAAATCTGACCTCGGTCTCAGCTCATAAGGGTGATAAGAATGGTGTTGAGTCAGTATGCACTCACCCGGTAAACAACTTTAGTATAATTAGTGTAGGGAGTCCCTTGCCTGGTGAGTCTCACGAGGGACCTAGATCTTGGAGGGTGCCCTGGATTCCCCCAGCTGGAGCCACTTCCACTCTGGCCTGGTGCAAGGTGACAGGAATGGGATTCCCCACAGATTGAAAGGGTGTAAGCATTTCTAAGTGCCTGTTATTCTCTTATGCATGGCTCTGCCTTTGCTTATTGATGTGTCACTTTGCAGTAGCTGTGTAACCATTTGGCAGTATTAAGCCTGTAATAGTAGTGACATAGTGAGATTAATAAAAGCAACTATCCCTAATCAACTCTGTTGTGAAGTGAATCCATAATCCTGTTTGGCTGTGCCCCTGTGAATTGACATGGATGAGGAGCCAGGGCCATATATGGGCTACCGCAGACAGATGGGGGCCAGGCCCAGGTCACCACAGCCAGATGGGGGCCATCTCCAGCCCCTCCCATGGGAGATAGAGGCCGGATCATGAGGCCTACCCTAGATAGGGGCCAGGGACAGGTCACCACAGCTAGATCAGGGCTGGGCCCAGATCAGGTCTATAGCAGCTCGACGGAGGCCCGGCTGGGCCATTGCAGTCGCATGGGGTCTGGGCCAGGATCACCATGGCTGGACAGGGGCCAGTTCCACCCCCCACTACGGCAGGAGCAGGGCTGGAGCCAGGCCACCGCAGACAGATGGGGGCCACTGCAAGCTCTTCGCAGTAGCCCAGATGGAAGTGTGTTCATGCCTCCCCTACAGCGCACCCACAGCTGACCCCTTTAACCTGCCTGCCTCCTGGCTGCTGTTGCCAGCGCCAGCCAGCCTGCAGCAGAGCAGAGTGCCTCAGCTGGCTCAAGCACCCCAGTTGGTTCTTGCTAGAGTGCAGCTGGTTCTTACCAGAGCAGCGCAGCAGGGCACATAGCTTTACTTTCATCTGTGCCTGCACCTTATTCTGCTCCATCCCTGAGCTCATCTCAAGTTCCAAACCCCTCAACCCCACCCCCACTGCTTGAATTTTATAAGTGCCAATACGAAGGTGCAGTGTTGCACATCACCTCCATACTGGTGCACATAACAAAATTCATTCTGCACATGGCAGGGGGGAAGACTGGTTGGCAAACCTAATTTTTGCATTTATCTCCCACATTTCCACTGTGAAAGTTTCCAACTATGGTTCTACAGGGACATCTTTTCGAGTGTAGACAAGGCCTGAGCGTGTCCACACGGTGATGGAGGGGAGGAGGCTGCATCGCTTTCACGCGACTTGTAGAATGCAAAGGGAGACAACGCCCGGCTGCCCCGAACGGCGAGTCCGCACCCTTAGGACTACAACTCCCGTGATGCTTGGGGCTGCCCTGGGCTCAGAGAGAGGGCGCGCAGGCGCAATGACCGGGTGGCGGAGCCTGAGGAAGCAGCTTCGCTGAGGAGCGGCGGAGGACGCTGGGTGCCTGCGGTGAGTCTGTGGGGCAGGTGGCGGCGGGCGCGGGTTGTTTGTGGGCTGGGCCCGGCCCTGGTGGGGAGGGGCCCAGCTGGGGGCAGCGGACAGAGCCCCCCGGCGCTGGAGACGCGGGGTGGGCAGCGCCGAGCCTCGGGCGCGGCTCTCGGGCGGGAGCGGCGCGCCCCGCAGGCCGGGGCAGGAGGAGCGTCTCGGGGCGTCCCCACAGGCGGGGGAAGGGTTAGGTCGGGCGGGGGAGCTGCCCCTTCGCTGGGCTCCGGCAGCGTCACCGCTCCACGCCCCGGGGAACTTCCTCCTTCCTTTGTCAGTGCGCCCAGCCCCGCGGGGAGTCCCTGCCGCGCTGCCTTATCTGCCCCCCGGCTCCTCCGCCTGCCCCGGCCACTGGATTTCCTCTGGCGCTGGCAGCGCAGCAACGTGCCCGCTCTCTCCTCCTCCCGCCCCTGCCCAGCCCTCTGCGGCTCGCCTTGTAACTTGCTCTTGTTCGAACATGCAGCCTTGAGGAGCCCGGGGTTGTGCTGTGTGCTCGTTTCTGAAGCCACTCGGGCCCTCTCCTGGCCTCGGATGTCTTCAGGCATGGCCCCCTGGTCTGCTGCTTTCAGATCTGCTGCTGAGTTCTGTTAGCTAGTGGGAAATAAACGTCCTGTCTGCAAAGTTTCTCCAGGTTGATAAGTTTCTAGCGAGGTAGCCAGCACCGTTAGCCTTGTTTCGGCGAAAACAACAAGGAGTCTGAAGGCACCTAAAAGACTAACAAATAGTCTTTAAGATGCCACTAGATTCCTTGATGTTTCATGTTGATTATCAAATACTCAATAAACCAGGATATGTGCAAAACTGAGGGGGGGGGGCGGGAATCATGAAGTTCCTGTGTCATTCACACCTGCATTTTGGAAGTGTATTGCTTTTGTGTACTAGTCTTGGATGCATGTGTGTGTTACTTACAAATGTAATAAAATAATCATTACAGGTCAAAACATTAGGCTTGTGCTTGGTGTAATATTTTCCTGAGATGTAAAGAAGGCCTTGAAATGACTTTTGTGAGAGAAGTTTGTGGGGTGACTTTTAAATTTTTTTTCTTTAGAAAAATTTGAGTCCTGTTTAGCTTAACTCCTTTTTCATGGTGCTCTGAAATCTTGGTGTTTTAAAATATCTATTTAGCTTAGTAGCATTTTGAAGAAAGTAAGCCTTGGTTAAAAAATTAGGCCTCCTCCATCCCTTCAGGTCAATCATTGGAAGCTAAACAATGTCTTGAGCCACTTGTCCACCAAAACTATGGAAAGGGCATATCACAATTTTTAAAAATACTCTTTAGATTATATTTAATATATGTGAGTACCAGTACTGAAGTTAGCTTTCTTATTGTTTTGAAGACCTGAATTCAAACACTTATTTTTCTACCTTCCCAAATAGCAGGTATGTGTTACCATCAGTCGGACTACTGACAGAAAGGTATAAAATCATTACAATTTACACACCCATAGTACAGAGGTTCCAGTATCTAGGAACAGCTGTAGTACGAAGGAGGAAGCAGCTCTGCCTGTTGTTGCCATCTTCCAGTTGAAGGAATAGTATGGTGCAGAGCTGCTTCTATAGTCGGGGGGGAGGGGGAGGCAGAGTGGGACAGTGCCCAGGGGTGTTGGGGGATGCAGCACCGCATCTGCCCCAGAAGCAGTGTGTCAGGTTAGCACCTTACCCCCTCAAGCTCAGACTCTGCAGTTTTCCCCTAAAGACCTGGCAAAATCTTAAATCTGGTATACTGTAGTATTTCCTTGGGTTGGCAGATTAAAGAGGTTTAAGTGTTCTTGATAAAAGTTGGCCTGCAGAATCAGAACTTTCCAAACTTGTTTTGTACATGTTCTATGATTTAAAAACTACGCTTATAGTTACTTTTTAGAAGGCTGTTTTCCAGTGAATGCTTTTCTGGAATACTCATGACTAACAAAAGGTTAGGTACTATGTAGAGTGTCAATGTAAGTCGTCCTGCAACGAAAACTTAGTCTCATGAGGCTGTGTTCAAACAGGAAATAGGTCCGTTATAAAGGTATGTTTACATCAAGACAAACTTGAATGACAAGGCTCAGTGGGCCCCTTTGCTGTGTAAATGTACATGTGTGTTTCTGTATGCTCTAATATTCTCATGAACAAAATTTACTGTGTTGGCTTCCAAAAGATAAAATGTGACCTTTAATATATACTGAAACATGCTATTAAGTTTGTTAGAAAAAAATAATTCTAGAGGAAGGCAAAAATAAATATTTAAGATCTTTTTTTTAAACAATTGTCGTGTGGCAAAGTTTGATGATATTTGGGTAATCCTAGAATGTCATTTAAAGCTGGAAAAGAGAGAGTAAAAAATTCAGGTAGTAGTATTCAAACAGCTGTGTTTACAATACCTTGTTGCAATAGAAACAAGAAAAGAGTATCTGGGGAAACAAACATTATTCTAGAAGAGGTAATTTCACAATGATATGCCTTAGAGCAAATTTACTTGAATGCTGTTAATGTATCTTATACCATTACATTTTGCGAACTGTGTATATAGATTTTTGATATACGGAAGCCTTAATGGGATGGATAATTTGGCATGAGGTAGTCCTTTAGAATTTGAAAGGCATCGTCTTTTGCTTTTCATTCTGTTGTTGGGCTACTAAGCATGTAGGATGAATTTTAAATAGTTTGGTAACTGCTAAAACTTGTCTTGATATTCTAGATGAAAAGATAAAAAGGGAGCTTCTTAAAATGAATTTCCTTCCCTCCCTCCTTTTTTTTTCAGGCTGTGTGTGAATTGTCAACACTAAATAAAAAGGAAAATACAATATAATGTCTGTCCGGAGAATGAAAACTAAAGCATAGTGTCTTTTCTGTTTTTGTTAGAGGATAACATTGCTTCTGAAAATGCTACAGTATATGAGCAGGAAGTCTTTAAGTGTGTTACACACCTGTAACCTTAGCATGGGATTTCTGTCACAGGTGCTCCTACCTTCACAGGGCAGTTGGTAGCTGCAGGATTTTAGGTAGTTTTGTGTCAGGGCTTTTAAGGAAAAATTTCTGGTATGCTTATCTTTCTATTCCCCAGTTCAATGTCTGGCATTTATCTATGATCATACCTTTGCCCTTTGGCTAACAAAGGCTTACAAATCTGGAAATTTGTAGTGGGTTGTGCTGAAGAGCACAGCTCCTTCACTTGCTTTCTCCAGAAGCTGTGTGTGTGTCATTTCTATAGTGTTTTCAGCCCAATAAAGGAAACCCAGACTATGTCTAGACTGCCCCCTCTTGTGCAATAAAATGCTAATGAGGCAAAGCATGGAATATCGCCACGTCTCATTTGCATAGATAATGAGTCTCTGTTTTTGCACAGGAGGCTTTTGCGCAAAAAGGAGCCGTCTAGATGAAGTTGTGTAGATGGCTCCTTCCTGTTCAAAAGCCTCTTGCGCAAAAAAGACCCCAATTAATTATGCAAATGAGGCACGGTGATATTCTACGCTTTGCCTCATTTGCGTATTTTTTGCACTAGAGGGGGCAGTCTAGACATAGCCCCAGTGTTCTTGAAGCAGTTTTCTGTGGGACTTTTCATATCTGTAATGCTATCTGCTAGGTTATTTTGCTGTTCCGTCCTATTTATATGATTCTATGGAATGGGTGATTGCATTTTTAAGAAATAAGCGTCCAGGTATAGGATCTTATTGGACAAAATTATCTGAATTATGTAAAACAACCCAGTACTGTGCTCACTTGACATCTTTATTAATGCTGTGTATTTATGGACTGAAAACACAAGCACAAAGGCTATGTCTAGACTGGCATGATTTTCCAGAAATGCTTTTAACGGAAAACATTTCCGTTAAAAGCATTTTCGGAAAAGCACGTCTAGTTTGGCCACGGACGCTTTTCCGCAAAAAAGCCCCGATCACCATTTTCACGATTGGGGCTTTTTTGCGGAAAACAAATCTCAGCTGTTCACACTGGCCATTTTGTGCAAAAGTTTTGCGCAAAAGGGACTTTTGCCCAAACGGAAACAGCATAGTATTTCCTCAAAAAGCACTGATTTCTTACAGTAGGAAGTCAGTGCTTTTGCGGAAATTCAAGCGGCCAGTGTAGACAGCTGGCAAGTTTTTCTGGAAAAGCAGCTGATCTTCCGGAAAAACTGGCCAGTCTAGACACAGCCAAAAAGTAAAAAGTGTTATGCTGAAGAGCCAGTAGCTCTTATTAATGCACAGAAATAAATAGCAGCTGTTGGGCAATACAGATGGTTCCAAATGTAATCTTTGGTGGAAATTAATGTGCCACAGGACTACTTGTTAGTAAAATTACAGACTGACATGGCTACCCCTCAGAGTTTTTGTAACATCTGAGTTTGCGATTACATGTGAGGGATTCCATTTGCTCACAAAGGTATCTGTTAGTTTGAACAAAGATGTATATACTCTTGCCTGAGGTCATTTGACAGGATCGATGGCATAATGTGTGTAAGTTTCATTATAAGGTGAATTGCATTTTCTTCAACTATGTCAAAATTTTGAATGAGAAAAACCCCAACTTGCACTGTAGACAAACTAGAGTGCTATAATCCAATCTGGGAATCCATCTAATGCAGGGCTACTCAACACATGGCCCATTTGTTTGCAGCCCGCAGTGTGGCTTGGGTTTACACGGCTCAAGACGCGGCCCTCAGGTGGGAGCCAAAACAAAAAAAATAGCCATTATAATGGTTTTCTGTTGACATGTGTTTTAATAGTTAAATTCCTGGACTATTATTTCCTATTAAAAGTGCAGTCATATGGGTGGAAATCAAGTAAATATTGCATTTTATTAATATAAGCAGAATTGACCTTAAATGGGGGCCTGTGTGTTGTGTAGTCTTGCCTTAATCTTTGTATTCGTGCCGGTCAGTGTGAAAGAAGCTATTTGCATGTACAGGCAGTCCCCGAGTTACGCGGATCCGACTTATGTCGGATCCGTTGTTACGAACGGGGCTTTTCTCGCCGCGGAGGACTGGAGCG